CTAAACCCGCTTGTTGAAACGGACACCAGCTGTATTCAACCAACATTGTTATGTTGTTAATAAAGCGGCTGAGACTCAAATGTGACCTGCGATTAAACAACAGGCTGAAAGACGTTCATACTCGGGCCTGGGAGCGCATGGACAGTCACGTGACTGCAGCGATCCAATCAACGGGGCGCGTCGCCTTTAAAGGCCTCCGCCCTCCACCTCCTCCTCACATGGCGCTGCAGGACCAAGTCGCGGTGGTGACCGGAGCGGTGCAGGGGATCGGCAGAGCCATGGCGGAGATACTCCTGCGGAACGGCGCCAAGGTACGAGGAGCACACCTCGTGCAAGGATACACGTTTAGTTCTGTGGCCTTAGGAGTCCACATATAACGGGCAGTTAATGTCGAATTTATGTAGAGGGAAGATTTGTTTAGTTATTTTTAGACGTAAATCTGGTGGTCTTCCACCTGTGCAGGTAGCCCTCCTGGACGTGAATGAGGCGGCAGGGAAGAGTTTGAAGGAAGTCCTCGACAAGCAGCACGGACCGGAGAGAACTCTGTTCCTCAGCTGTGATGTTGAATCAGAGGAGCAGATTAGAGGTGACACACACACACACACACACACACACACACTTACACTTGGAAGTAGATGCTCATGACTCACTTACCTACGCGGTCACATCCGTTTAATATTTGCAAATGCACACAAAACGACCCACGAATGCAAATTCAACATTCAATCATCTGCAGCCAATCAGATGCCGCCGTCGTGTTCCATAGATCCCTCGAGCCTTCAGCGATTCAGCGACGCAACAGGTGGAAGTCAGCAGGCGTGTTCAGGTGCGACCAGACGCGTCTGTGCATTGACTTTACATGGAATCTACTGGCTTTTGAACGCACCATGAAGTGAAACGCGTTTAATGTTTCATGGCGTGCGTGATTAACGCTGATTATGTTCGACTTGTAAATTACTGTTGACGTTACAACACGTTGCATCGTGGATGTTCTGTGTGCATTTGCAGTTATTGCGTCCCATCAGACCCCCGTACTTACCGACCATGTTAACAGTTATTTTTTCAGTCCAACTTGACTGCAAGTTAGAAGTTTCTCTGCTCTCAAGCTGCCTTTCAGAGGACTGCTGGAGCTTTGGGGGCGGTGGACATCGTGTGCAACAACGCTGGCGTCCTGAACGAGGCCGAGTGGGAGAAGACCATCTCCGTAAACCTGGTCTGACCCCCTGATTGACCCACACCAAAGTCTTCTAGTCCCGTCCCGTCCCGTCCTTAACCCCGCGTGCCCCTGTGCAGGTGGCGGTTGTCCGGGTAACCTACATCGCTCTGGAGCACATGAACAAGATGAGCGGAGGTCGGGGAGGGGTCATCATCAACACCGCGTCCATGGCGGGTACGACCCACAACGCACCGCAGTGTTACTCAAGTTATTGATTCACTTATTTAGTTATTAATCCACTCATGGTATGATGTGCGCAGGCCTACGGTAGTTTTTCACCATCCCATCTTTTGCTTCTTTTGCTGTTGTGAAATATTTTGTCTCAAATGGAACATTTAAGCGATCTCGTGAGGTGGCGTGATTGTTTTTAAGGGCGACACTGAAAGCGTGTCACCGAAACGTTGACTGATTTAACCCTAATTCCCCCCCCCCCCCGCAGGGCTCTTCCCCTTACTGAGCTGCCCGGTGTACACGGCCACCAAGTACGGGGTGGTCGGCTTCACCCGGGGCCATGCGGTGAAGATGGCGTTCTCACAATGACCTCTTTCCTTCTCTTATTGCGCGCTTTATACGATGATTACGGGGTCATCTGTAAGAAATCAGGCCCACCGCAACACTAGATTCAGTCACCCATGTGTGGTCTGCTGACATTAATGAGAACATGACTAACCGTGGCGTGGTGTCGCTCATCTTCATCAAAACCGTGTCGGCCTGGTTGGAACTTTCTGCTTTTCTTTCTGACCTTTCATTCATCAACCAGGATAAGACGGTGACTCTTTTTTTGATTCTCTGCGTGTTTCCTCAGAGGGACCTGGAAACCTGACTGTCTTTTGTTTGCCAGGCTAACTCCACCGCCTTGGCTTCGGTATACGGTTCAACGCCCTTTGTCCGGCTTTGTCCAAACGGACATCTTGGACAACATTTACGAACGATTGGGACAATTCTCCCAGCTGTCTGCTGAGCCCAAGTGTTTGTGGACAAAGGGGTGTTGAATGAGTTCAGTATTTTTTGCTTGTGTTAAAGCTGCATTCTGTGTAGTGACCAGCAGGGGGCGACTCCTCTGCTCCCATAGACGTCTATGAGGAAAGACTCTACTTCTCTGTAGTGACAGCAGGGGGCGACTCCTCTGCTCCCATAGACGTCTATGAGGAAATGACTCTACTTCTCTGTAGTGACCAGCAGGGGGCGACTCCTCTGCTCCCATAGACGTCTATGAGAAGATGACTCTACTTCTCTGTAGTGACCAGCAGGGGGCGACTCCTCTGCTCCCATAGACGTCTATGAGGAAATGACTCTACTTCTCTGTAGTGACCAGCAGGGGCGACTCCTCTGCTCCCATAGACGTCTATGAGGAATGACTCTACTTCTCTGTAGTGACCAGCAGGGGGCGACTCCTCTGCTCCCATAGACGTCTATGAGGAAATGACTCTACTTCTCTGTAATGACCACAGGGGGCGACTCCTCTGCTCCATAGACGTCTATGAGGAAATGACTCTACTTCTCTGCAGTGACCAGCAGGGGGCGACTCCTCTGCTCCCATAGACGTCTATGAGAAAATGACTCTACTCCTGTAGTGACCAGCAGGGGGCGACTCCTCTGCTCCCATAGACGTCTATGAGGAAATGACTCTACTTCTCTGTAGTGACCAGCAGGGGGCGACTCCTCTGCTCCCATAGACGTCTATGAGGAAATGACTCACTTCTCTGTAGTGACCACAGGTGCGACTCCTCTGCTCCCATAGACGTCTATGAGGAAATGACTCTACTTCTCTGTAGTGACCAGCAGGGGGCGCTCTCTGCTCCATAGACGTCTATGAGGAAATGACTCTACTTCTCTGTAGTGACCAGCAGGGGGCGACTCTCTGCTCCCATAGACGTCTATGAGGAAATGACTCTACTTCTCTCTTGATTTATTCCCTCAGTAAACATTGTAAACACGAGTTTATGGTCTCAGTCTCTAGTTTCAAGTCTTCACACAGAAACGGAGCATGAAGCAGACATTACAGGTCATTTAGCTGACGTTTTATCCAAAGCGACTTGCATTTTAAGTCATAGCTTTTTACCATTTTTATTTTTTTTGCCCGGGGGCAGGTAGGGGGTAGGTGTCTTGCTCAAGACTTCAACATGGGACATGGAGCAGCCGGGGTTCAAATTGCCAACCTTGTGCTTCCCGGCGCACCGTCGCCCTCAACGTTAAACTTTAGCCTCCCTCACTTTGGTTGTAAAAAAGATGGAGCCGACTTAAAGGCTTAAAGTCCACAAACCGACGGGCTTGTTCCCGATAAGCAGCCGGAGGAAATGATTCCTGTACTCTGTGTTTCAGGACCTCCGAGGTGGCCGAGGGCCTCCTGGAGCTGCTGACCAACGACACCAAGACGGAGAGAGAGCTTTACAGGTGATGTGCAGCTCCCAGAAATACATGA